TCTTTTTCTTTTCCATACGGTGGGAAGAGACAAATGCCGGGGAAAAGTGAAGAGGGAAGGGGGGGGGGAAATGCCCGAAGGCCTGAGGAGTTTCCCCTCAGGAAAACAAAAGTTCTCGTTTTTCTTCTTCTTCTTTTTTTTTAAAGAAAACTGAAGTAAAGAAAATAAAACGGAGGATGATCCTAAGAAACAAAGGAATAAGGTAAAGGCCCGAAGGCAGTAACAGCTATCCGGTCAGGAGGAAAGGCAAAAAGGTCCTTTCAACGCGGCGGTAGAGAGAGAACTGGCGGGATCTCCGCGCCCGTCCCTCTGGGCATGCGTGCTGGGGTTCCTGCGCATGCTCAGTGGGACTCGCGCAAAAATCCTTTGAAACATAGCTTGCTACGGCACCGGTCGGGTCAGCGCAGGCGCACTGAACCCATTGGTGTGAAGCACAGAGACCACGAAGAAGATCAATAAGTTCACAGTAGGGTAGGGATGTGTGCCTGCACAGACACAACTCAATGAACAACCGTTACAGGTAAGTGCAACACTCTTTTCATCGTCGTTTTGTGCAGTCCCACATGGGAGACTAGCAAGCTGACTTACCAGGAGGTGGGGTGAGCAAGTCATTGAAAAATCAAATGCAAGACCGCTGATCAGACTGGCGTCTCTTTTCTTGTACTGACATCCACAGAATAGTGCCTGATAAAGGTATCTGCAGGTGACCTTACAGATGTCAGCCAAAGGGATTCCTCGCTGGAAGGCAGCCAAAGCAGCTTGTGCCTTCATGGAGTGAGCCTTAACATTAAGAGGTCACACTGCTTGTTTGTAGGACCGTCTAATTGTTGAGATGATCCATCTGGATACAGTCTGTGATGAGGCTACTCTCCCTTTTGAAGGCCCAGCAAAGCAAACAAACAATTGTGTGACTTTTCTGAACCGATCTGTTCTTTTCAGATAAAACAATAAAGCAAGTTTCACATCTAACATGTGTAGTTGTTTCTCAGCTGCAGAGAATGGTTGCAGGAAGAATACAGGAAGTGAGATGTCCTGACTCAGGCCAAATTATAGACTACCTTGGACAGGAAGTATATACTAGGTCTCAGAACTACCTGATGATCATGAAATTTGATGAACGGGTGGTTATCTCTAAAGAGCTGTTATTTTCCCTACCTGCCTGACCGACATGATGGCTACCAGAAAGGAAACCTTGAAGGAGAGATTGTCCAAGGAGCATGTGGCTAGAGATTCAAAGGGAGGCTGTATTAATTGAGCTAGAACCAGTGATAAAGACCATTGCAGAACAATGGGGACCTTTGGAAGATAGAGGATGTTTAATCCCTTGAGGAACATCTTGGAAGAGTTATGTGAGAAAAGTAAAGATCCTTCTATTAAAGAATGGAAGACAGAAATAGCTGCTAAGTGAACCTTAATAGAAAAAAACAGCCAAACCTGTGGCCTTGCAAGTAAGTAAATATTCCAAAATTAATGGTAGGGGACAAATTATTGGGGAAACATTCCTGGTGAAGGCCCATGAAGATAAATGTCTCCATTTGTGATTGTAGGAGACACCAGTGGACAACCTACAGGCGTTCAAACTAACAGAAGCTACAGGGAAATGTTCTCCTTTGGTGTCAGTAGCCAGGCAGTTAGGCACAGGTGTCAAATATCACAGTGGAATGCATCCACATCAGATCTGGCAGATGAATATAATTGCCCCTTTACCTCTGAAATAGGGCCTGAAACCACACTAGATGGGGGTAGAAATGGGTGATCAGGGTGCAGTGTGTGTTGTCTCTGATCAACATGGTTACCATCCTCCCTACTAGGGCAAAAGGAAGGAAAGCATAGAATACAGTATGCATCCGAATTAGTTGAAAGGCATCTCCCAGAGAAAATGGATCAAGGACAGCCTTTGAACAGAAAATGTTGGATAGCACATTCCCAGATTACAGTGGTTTCTGCTCAGAGGGGGTAGAATGCTGTGCCTCCCTTGCTTGTTTAGATAACAGATAGCAGTGGTATTGTCCATTTGCACCTGGACCATCTTTCCACGTATAAGAGCTGTGAAATAATTAAGGGCATAAAAATGGCTCTTAACTCCAGAAAGTTGATGTGAAAGCCCTTTCAGCAAGAGACCAAGTGTCTCTTAAGCAACTGTCACTGCAATGGGCATCCCAACCCATTAAAGAAGTGTCAACAGCAACTACAACTGTGTGAGATGGAGAACCGAAAGGTATTCCCATAAATAAATTGGAGTCAAGGATCCACCAGCCAAACTCTTTTAAAATCAACCTGGGGATGGAGAATCATTGATTCTAGGAGTGTACAGAGGGGTTAAATACACGTATGAACCAATTCTGTAATGGTCTCATCCTCGCAAGATCTACCTCAGGGAACCTTGACTTTCTACCAGTCGGATCCAATCTTGAAACCAATTGAACAGAAATTACTGAGGCCGGATGCGAAGGACAATCCATAGCTGGTTTTGACATCGGAGGAGGAGTGTGTTCCACCAAGGGAGATGATTTAGCTGCCAGGTCTACAGAACCTGATAAAATACTGTACCACAAGGCGGCTTTTAGATGTGAAGTGTAATCTACCTGGCTCTTAGGGCTGAATTGCTGACAGATCTGACAGGCTGTCACATTATGGCCTTCCCCCAAACATGGGAAGTATACAGAATGTTCTTCAGTGTGCATCATTTTGGTGGCATAAGATGAACATTTTTTGAAGAGGGACTTTTGTAACACTTTGTATTTGTGAGAGATAGGACAAAGAAGATTTGAAGTTAAGGAGAGAAGTTAGAATGTTCTTCATAGAGCGGTGGCAAAGAACAAACAGAGGGAATAGGGGGAGCACCTCCCCTGGAGCATGTATCCGTTTGGGCAGGAAAATGTACTCTGTTGAGTTCCTGAGGGGACGCGTTCACCTTGCTCTGTTGCTAGTGCTAAGAGAAGCTTAGAAATCTTTTGGTGGCTGGCCCGCATGCATGCACTGTTCCATGTGGGACTACACAGAACAACTATGAACTAACATATGAACCCATATAGAAACTGTGGGCATGTAATGAAGTTGATGGGCAGCAGATTCAGGACAGACAAAAGCAAGTGGGGAAGTCTGTTCACTTACTGTGGAGCTCCTTCTCAGTAATCTAGGGTGGGGCAGTCACAACCAATGGGTAGAGGCTCCTCCCCTACTACCTCTCTGTATATCACACCTAATCCAATCACACCTGCTACTGTCATTTGCCTGCTAATGTCATTTGGTACCTGAAATCACTCCACTTTCCAATATATAGGACAGATGGTCTCACATTCTAGCTGTATTTGAAGAAGCGAACAGTGACTCACAAAAGTGGATTACTGTAATGCTCTCTACATGGGGCTGCCCTTGGGCCAACTCCGGAAGCTGCAGCTGGTGCAAAATGTGGCGGCCAGGCTGCTGATGGGTCTCCCTATGTGGGAGCACATCCAGCCTGTGCTAAAGTCGCCGCACTGGCTGCCAATAGCATTCCGGATTCGCTTCAAGGTGCTGGTTTTGACCTCTAAAGCCCTATATGGTCAGGGACCTGCCTACCTGAGGGACCGCCTTTCCCTGCATGTTCCCCAGAGAGCACTGCAATATGGGACACAACACCGCCTGACCCTTCCTGGCCCTAAAGAGGCCAGGCTGACAACAACTAGGTCCAGGGCATTTTCCTTGGCTGCACCAGTATATTGGAATGAGCTCCCGAGTGAGATCCAGGCCCTGAGAGATCTCCAGCAATTTCGCAGGGCCGTGAAGATGGAGCTTTTCCGCAGGGCATATCAGTGAGATTGATGTCATGCCAGCTGAGCCTTGCCGACCTGCTAAGGCATGTAAATGGTAGTGATTACACTGTGGTAGAAGTTTAGATATAACATATACTGAGCCTTTTTATTGATATTTATTGTATTTATAGTTAAACTGTTTTATATGAATTGTTCGTGTTTTATGTATACTGGTTTTATTGATGTTGTAAGCCGCCCTGAGCCGCTTAGGCAGGAGGGCGGGATAAAAGTCGAACAAATAAAAATAAAATAATAAATAATAATAAATGCTCATACCGTACTACAAATTTTGTTAGTCTTGAAGGTGCTACTGGACTCTTACTCATTTCATTGTGCTCTATGGTTACAGGTAGAACTTAATCTCTCATGTACACTTTGGTGTTTGAATAGAACAGCCATCTTGTTCTCATAGTTATAAAAGAAACATTCAAAATGTGGAGACATTTTTTGCAAGTATAGGTAAAAGAAAAAGAAAAAAATGTAGTGCGGGAAAGATTTATGGAGCTGATACAAAGTGTGTGTGCAGGGAAGCCTTTCCCCTCTAAAAGTTCTTTAAAATTATTCTTCAAATTTCCAAAGTTTGGAAAAATAACTAGAGTAAGCTTCAGTTCAAACAAGCATCCAATATCTATTCCAATCAAATATTTGTGCTGTTTGGTTATGTTATCTCTAATTTCGCCACAGACTAAGGGTTTTTTTTAAAATGGCGATTTATTTGATTTCTTACAGGTATCAGTGAAACAGTTTCATCTCAGAAAAGATTCACTGAACTCATAGCTAACTTCTGGGGTAGGCCCTATTTTAGCCTTCAGTCCATGGGGTTCTTCTATCAAGCAGGATCCAGGAGCACTGAGTCATGTCAGAAGTAGAGGCCTGGACTGATATAGTTTTAACTGAAAATATTTCAAAGTAATATTGTATGCCACCTTAAACCACAAGGAATGGTGGGATATGTTTTAATAAGTAATAACTGAATAAATAAGTATGGGGCAGTGACATCATCTTGCCACACTGATTCATGAGGCACATGCATATGGAGAGTGAGGCCTTGTATATGAAGCTATGGTCAGGTATGGGCCTCTGTGCAAGGTTCTCCCACAGACAAAACATATAGTTAATCCTAGGATATTTTACTGCAAAATGTCTTTATGTTCTGCATGCATAACTTGTCTTTAGTCAAGTCTGATGAAATCTTTAACTGCTCACTTTTTAATTGTAAATGCTTTAGCTTTGATAAATTGTTCTCGCAGTTTTTCCACAAGAAGTTCTTTCCTTGATTTTTGCTTTATGCTCAACACGCTGCTCCCTTTTTGACTGCTGTTCCGTGTGCTGGTACTACCTGAGAATGTCAGGGAAGGTGGGGGTGGGACAGAAGTAAAATATTACAGAATGGTACACTAATATTAACACAATATATACATTTAATTTCCAAACAAAGCAGTGCAACCTTCAACTTAAAGTAATGCACAGTGAAAGAATATTTGAGTAGGTCAACATTTAAGATACTGTATACCTAGAGGCAAACAATAAAAAGCCTTCCACATTATGCACCGAGCTGTCAAATAAAATAATAGAAATAAACAAGTGGGGAACCTGTAAGGACTTGGGTGGGGTGTCACTTTGTTTCCCTCTATATCCCCTCCCCCACACTATTTTCTTTTTCTTTTCTCATAGCAGTCCTTGTATTCTCTCCTTTTCCCTTGCTTCCTTCTTTCCTTTCCACTCACCAACCAACCATTCTTTTATCTGCCCCCCCCCCCGTCTTCAGCTTTATTTCTTATTTATTTACTTCATTTATATGCTGCCTTTCTCCCCCACGGGGACCCAAAGCAGCTGACATCATTCTCTTTGCCTCCATTTTATCTTTACAATAACCCTGTGAGGTAAATTCCACTGAAAAAGAGTGAATGACCCAAGGTCACCAGGCAAGCTTCCATTCTAACCAACACTGGCTCTCAGCTTTCCCTCCTTCCTCCGCCTAGCAGCCTCTCCTTGGAGTCTGGCCTATTTGCAAAAGTTGTGTGGTGGCTGGTCACTCAGGTGAGTTGTATGGTGCCCACTACCAGGATGGGCCAAGTTTTACAAGTTGTGTGAAGGCTACCTTTATGGGTTATGTAGCATTATATTATCTGATAGCCCGTGCTGCACCTTGTGCAAATTTCATGGTAACAAATTATCCAGCGATTGCTGTGGGGTAGGGTTGCCAGACCCCTGGTCCAGCCAGGGGATCCCCCAGTCTTCAGGGCTCCAATCCACCACCGGCCAGCTGGCTGGCAGGGGAAGCCCCACCCCCAAACAGGGACATCACTGCGTGATGTCCCTGTCATAATGACATCACCCTGAAGTGATGTCATCACATTGCTGACATTGGGGGGAACACTCTAGTTTTTGGGCAAACTCTATGGTTTTGAGGGCAAGAAACCATAGAGATTTGCCCCAAAACTAGAGTGACACCTCCAGACATCAGCAACACAATGATGTCACTTCCAGGTGACATCATTGTGGTGCGTGCAGCAGCCAGGTAGGACCTGGCAACCCTACTGTGGGGCTTGCCTTCAATGATTCCTCCCTCCTGGACACCTCCTCGAGGTGGAAGCCAAAATAGCCCTGGACAGAAACCAAGATTTAAAGGCTGGCAATACACTTGTGGTTGCCTAGCAAACCCCACAATGGCCACTGAAATCTCAGAAGACATTCATTTCTTAAAGGTACAGGTACTGCTGCGGTGGCTCAAGTGGTTAAGACGCTGAACTGCAGGCTGTGGAAGGTCAGTAGTTCAGCGGTTCAAGACCCGGGTGCTGCAAGACAGGGTGAGCTCCTGTCTCTAGTTCCAGCTCCTGCCAACCTAGCAGTTCGAAAGCAAGAAATTACAAGTAGATAACTAGGTACCACTTCGGTGGGAAGGTAACAGCGTTCCGTGCGCCTTGGTGTTTAGTCATGCCGGCCACATGACCACGGAAACGTCTTCGGACAGCGCTGGCTCTTCGGCTTCGAAACGGAGATGAGCACCGCAACCCTAGAGTCGGATTCGACTGGCTTTCGAGCAAGGGAACCTTTACCTTTTTACTGCTTCTATTATTGGGAGGGGTTAACTCATCAGTGGGTTGTTTTTTTTTTTACATTTCAGATTTTTATGCAAACCTGGGGCTTTTCTCAGGTTTGTAGTAAGATCTGTTTTGTCTGTTCATGGCTCCAGTCTCTGGATTTAAGTATCCACAGATGCTGCCATGATGAGAATTAGATATATTGTTGATTGATACTGCAGGTAAATTGTATGTGTATCTTTCTGGAATGGAAATGGAGAAAGGAACAAGATACACAGAATTATGAGTTAGTCTTACACAGAGCAACTAAGGGGCCATTACTGTGGGATGGTCTGTTAATTTATTACTATCTTCTTCTACTGTCAAGTAGTAGAATATTGTGCTGAATATTGCAAATCTTGCAAAATATTGCAAAAGTCTTTTTGCTTCCAGTTATAATTTAACTTTTAGTCTAGGGCCTGAACTACATTACTTTGGCAGACATAGTTTCCCAAGCCTTGTGTTTGCTGGATAATGTGAGTTTGGGGCAAGGAGAAGTGTATATGTGGGGAAATTAGTGGGTAGGAGATAGATTAAAATTCCCTTGTTTTGGCTGCTGTTTCTTTAAATATTCACAGTTCAGAAAGTTTGAAGCCATGGTTATTGAATAAATTGCCTCATTTTGGCTTAGTTCTGCTCTCTCTTTTTTACACATTTAATTGTAACAAATTAAACATCGTTATTGTCTAAGAAATTAAGTAACAACGTAAACCGTGTTTAGTTTTGCATTAAATACATTCCATTATTTTCTTTAGTTATAGGTGACCAAAGGTGCACTCCACAATCTGAAGCAAGTACAAATATTCCACTCTATTTGAGAGTCTGGTTGTTGTTAACCATTCACATACCTCGTTTTGACCGGTGTGAGGAGAAGCTGGATCTGTGTGACAGCTGCGACCCACTGCTTGAACTTTTCCTACGGATGGCGGTTTGCTGCTCTGGGAAATGGACATGTATAGACTCAACAGACGCTGCCAAGTCAACTGATCTCAGAGAGCCAGCAGAACCTCTCCTTTCTGACTCAGCCATCTCGTCATCAGAATCATCTTTACTGATGAAGTCTCCTCCATCTTCTTCATCCCACAATCCATGACACTAATGGAAGAAAAGTATAAACTAAGATTTTGTGCACCCATGTTGGTTGACAGAAAAATTCCAGAAACATTAGACCAGTAATCCATTTAGTTCCAGAGAACTCAAAAGCTTTCTGGTGTGATATTTTTGTGGATCCCAATGAAAGGAAATAAATACACTTCTCTTTATGTAAAACATTGACTATGGGTATACTTTCTGTATTCATCACCCGAATCCTAGGTCTATATTAACAATTAAAGAAAATGTCACTTGAAAGTACTAAAATACATTAATGTATCTGAAAGAAAATGATTGTTACAAGTACTACTCTTACAAATGCAGTTTAAAGATACCAGTTGCAGAAGTTATAGATGAACTACAACATGAACTGAGAGCTTTCACTTTGGCGAGATGGCCTTCCCTCTGCCGTTTTGAGGAGAGATATAAAAAGATTCCCATGAAGAAGAGAACCTGTCCATGTGGCACCAAAGAGGTAGAATCAATTGAACATGTATTGTTTTATTGTTGCTTTTTCAGGAAGTTCAGTTAAATATAATTTCCCCTCTGATTAATAATTATCCAGGATGTTATTCTGATGTTGATATCTTAAAGAAGCTTTTCATGGATGCTAATCAACAGGTCAGGGGCCGCGGTGGCTCAGAGGTTAAGACGCTGAACTGCAGACCGAAAGGTCTGTAGTTCGGCAGTTCAAGACCTGAGTGCCGAATGACAGAGAGAGCTCCCGTCTCTAGCCCCAGCTCCTGCCAACCAAGCAGTTTGAAAACAAGAAATTGCAAGTAGATAAATAGGGACCCACTTCGGTGGGAAGGTAACAGCGTTCTGTGCATCTCGATGTTTAGTCATGCCGGTCACATGACCACGGAAATGTCTTTGGACAGCGCTGGCTCTTTGGCTTGGAAATGGAGATGATCACCGCCCCCTAGAGTCGGATTCGACTGGCTTTCGAACAAGGGAAACCTTTCCCTTTCCCTAATCAACAGGTCAGCTCTGCTAATTTTTTTTCAGCAGCTTGTAGAATTCATGGTGAAATTTTTTGTATGGATTTTAAATTTTAGAGATTTCCAACTATTGGTAATTATTGGACCAATTTTATTTTCCAATTATTTTATTGTATAGCTTTATTTCTGATTTGTACTGGCTGTTGGCTGAATGAATAAATTGACTGAAATACTACTTTTACAACCACAATTTAAAGATACCAGTTGGAGAAGTTAAAAATGAACTACAACATGAACTATACTGATTGTCATTTTAAGAAATATTATAATACAGATACTTTCTTATGTAAACTTCTTTTTTAAAATACAGAGCAGAAATGGCTAAAAATCAAAGCACATAACAGTTTAAATTTCAGTAGTAAATTGGAAAGTTTGATGTTGCTGTTGCCATATCTGCCTATTAAGCTGTCTTCATTGTCAAAGTGTTAGAAAGCTGCTTTGAGTACCTTATGGCCCCAAATTGGTAAATTAATCATGTAAATAAATATATAAGCAAACATATGAACAAATATCTCTCACCAAGGGCTGAAAGCACAGCATACATACACCTTCACATCATAGGCAGTATCCATTAACTAATCATATTCAGGTATGATTTTCCATCATGTATTTTGCAGTTTAATCTGATCAACTCTCCATGTATCTCAGTCTTATTATCTATAACATGGAAATGGTAATCCAAATATGACAGATGTCCAGTATGCTGACAGTATTTTTGTATGAAAATACCACTTTGTACTAAAAGCAAAGCTATTTTAAGCATAACACATGTATACATTTCAAAATACCTTTAAAATGGATCGGTGGAAAAACAATGCAAGTAGCTGAACAAGGTCATAGTGAACGTAACCCTCTTTCTTCTCAACACCAATAATATTGGGAGGATGGTAAGGTGCATCTTTTGTGAGTTCGAGTTTTGCATTCCAAGGGAAGAAGCCAAACTGGAAGAAATACTTTATAACTATTGTCACCTGTACAAAAAAAAAAAGTACAAGTGAAAAGTAGCCTTATATCAGCCTGAAGGGAAAAAAGGTCATGAAGCAGGACTATGTTTTGGAGACCTCAACTTTCCCTAATGAGAGAAACAGTAAAAGAGAAGTTGGTGTAAAAGATGTTATATTTCAAATTACAGTTTGGCAGATGTGCTAAAGTGGCTTGAACAGAAAAGGGGAGGGGGAGAGTGTCTGATGAAGGAAGGGAGAGAGGGAGGGAACTATAAATCATGTATTTTATTTCAGACATTTAAAGTTCATGAATGCAGTGAAGCAGATAGACCAGGGTGTCGAACTCATTTGTTTGGAGGGTTGGATCTGACATAAATGAGACCTTGTTGGGCTGGGCCATGTGTGTCATAAAATGTAATGCCAGGTAGTGGAGATATAAACTTTATAAAGGACACAAACAGAAAAATAAAAACATGCTTAAAACATTAGTACTCTTGCAATATTTTGTTTATTTAACAGTGTCTGATAACTGACACTTCTTGCTCTAAATTATTGCATCAAAATGTGTGTACTGTTGCAATCTTGAGTATGCTGTTCAAGTGTGTATCTGCAAACCTACAATGACGCAGCAGCAGTAGAACTGGAAGAAGCAGCAGAAGACAGCCAGTTCCACTGCGGGCCTGAAAGAAGCCCTCTGGGGGCCTGATCCGGCCCCCGGGCCGCATGTTTGACACTCCTGAGATAGACTGTAAAGAAGAGGAATGGGTACATTATAATCCTTAGTCAAGACAAGGAAGAGGTGGCTTGTCTTACCCTAGCCTTCTTGCACCCCTCCTCATTCATTGTGTTTACCAATAGTAAATAATTGCATACATAGTGAGGCTTTGCAAGGGATTTGGCACTTTAAAGGAGCTCAGGATAGCATCCAGGGAATCTGCTTAGAAGTGGAAAGGAGGCAAGGAGCAAGCTAACTGTGGTTTATGAACAAACTGTTGTATGTTTGTAAGAAAAGCAGGGTTATACAAACCAAGCAGAGTTTGTACAAAAAACTGGTGTAAACAAACCCATTTGTCACATATGAATTAAATATACAACCTATAGCAGTTAAATCAGTAAATTAATAATGTATTGCATGAATACTTTTGACAAGTCCAGTATTTAGTACAGATCAATTCCACTAGATTACACACATATGAGAATGCAATAATTTGATTGCCCAGTTCCACAGGGGCACCATATTAGTGTGCTGCCGACAAAGTAACAAAAATATGTCAAAGCACCTTAATGACTAACAGATTTATTATGGTATAAACTTTCACAAGCCAGAGCTCACTCAGATACATGAAGTGTTATATTTAGTTTTCAGAGAGCTTTATCAGCAGAAGTACAAATACAAAAGGGTGGGATGGGGGTGGGGAGAGAGCTTTCTCAAAAACAGGCTGGAAGGCCAAGTTTCCAAGAACAAGGGTGAGTATATTGCATTGTTGAGCACAGAAGAAAACAAGATCCAATCAAAAGAGCTAAATCTGAGTTGGAATTCATAGACAAGCCTCTGCAACAAACCCCACTGACAACTCTGTTCCCATATCCCCTCAACTGACACTATTACAGGGCCTAATAATATTATCATCAAGGGTTCATTTACAGTTGCACATCCTTTAATGTGATATGTGTCATCATGTAACAGCAATGTACTTCTGCCATTTAAAATGGCCAAACTGGACAGTGTCAAAGCAAGAGAACAAATGCACACAGATCAGACATTAATACCCAGAAGCCAGGGAGAGAGCACTGCAGTCTCCTTGGACACGCAATAATTGATGTAAAGGTCGCAGTCACAGTCCCTCTAAGCTGCACTAAGGGGTGCTGGTTCACATTTCAGAGGCCAGCTCTAGGGTTGCCAGGCCCCTCAAAGTCCCCAGTGGGGGGGCATTATTGGAGGGGGTGGGGAGTCCCTAACGTGATGATGTCACACAGAAGTGACATCATGTTGAGGAGCAGCACCCCCACCTCTCCCCAGCAGGGTTTAAAGACATCATTTAAAGACATCATTTAAATGCTGCTGGGGAGAGGTGGGGGAAGCTGTGAGCGCCTGCATTCCAAGCTCTGAATTCGGGGCTTAGAGTGCAGGCATGTGGCCCCCGCCGCTTCACAGTAGCATTTAAAGCCATCCTTTGAATGCTGCTGGGGAGAGGTGTGGGGGAGGTCGCGAGCGCCTGCATTCCATGCCCCGAATTTGGGGCTTAGAGTGCAGGCACATGGCCCCTGCCTCTCTCCAGCAGGGAAAAGGTGGAGAGGAGGCTGGGTGGTTGCTCTTGGAGGCGGGGCTTCCCCCACCCACCAGCTGGCTGGCGGGTAGGAAGGAGCCCCTCCATATCGGGCAACCCCCACCAAACCAGGGGTCTGGCAACCCTAGCCAGCTCAGAGGATTTCTGCTTCAGCTCACAACCAAGCTTCCATAGGAAACAATGGAGAATGGGGGCACCTTCTTCTGGGGTCCATAAAATTGGACCCGCTGGTCCAATCTTTTTGAAATGGGGGTGGGGTTGCTATGCTGCAAATTTGCTTGTAGCCACCACCACTTCCTGTGGCAGTGAATTCCATGTGTTAATCACTCTTTGGGTGACAAAGTACTTCCTTTTATCCGTTCTAACTCAACCGCTCAGCAATTTCATGGAGTGCCCACAAGTTCTTGTATTGTGAGAAAGGGAGAAAAGTACCTCTTTCTCTACCTGCTCTATCCCATGCATAATCTTATAAACCTCAATCATGTCTCCCCTCAGTCGTCATTTCTCCAAGCTAAAGAGCCCTAAGCGCTTTAACCTTTCCTCATGGGGAAAGTGTTCCAACCCTTTTATCATTCCAGTTGCCCTTTTCTGCACTTTTCCCAAAGCTATAATATCCTTTTTAAGGTGTGGTGACCAGAACTGCACACAGTATTCCAAATGAGGTCACACCATTGATTTATATAGGGGCATTATGATATTGGCTGATCTGTTTTCAATAAACTGTTTTCAATTAAAATATAGTTTAAATATAGTTTAAAATAATTCATTCTGAGATTTTTACAAGGTAATGGAAATAATCTTCTAACAAAATAATTTATACAATAGTCAATGTTGATTTGCTCACAACTTTAATGCTACTAGTTTTTTCACTCACAAGGTAGAATTTCTGCTCACAACACTGGAGCTTAGAGGGAACACTGGAGACTCACAGTACTTCAGGATAAATATTTCTGCTGTTAGAAATCATATATAGATTTTATACTAACAGAATTGGACTCAATATAGACTTGGAATGGTTTGTACATTACTTAAAAGTAATTCCTGCTCTTTACAAGTTTGTGTACACTACTCAGATTCATCTTACTTTTCTAATTTGTGAGTAGTCTACTGCCACTCAGAGTCTGCTGTTTGCACTTTTGACAGGGCCACTTTCCCCTCTGTGCTCTGAAATACAATTTAATACACTTTTCCCTGGGAAACTGGGCTTTCTGGCCTTTATTATAGCTCTCCCCCTACCTAATTATAGCCCTTCTGCTGTTTGCAGACCTGGAAACTAAGGATGTGTATTCGGATACTTCCAGTCCAAATAATAACCATATTTCACACTGTATATTTTACATTTTATACTTTATTATTTTTACTGTTAGTGGCAAAATATCCCTGCTTACCTAAAATAAGACTAGTCCCCCCCTTGTGCCATCAAGAAAAAAACAGTTGTCTTGGGAGGCTGGGGAGTTGGAATTCTTTCCGCCATCTTATATAGGCTGGGGGGTTTTGTTATCTCATAGATGCTGTTTTTTATTTATTGGTATCTATTGGGTTTTTTAACTTAGTTTTAAATTGAGATTTGTATACTTATTCTGTTGTAAGCTGCCCTGAGCCCTATTCTAGGGAAGGGCGGCCTAGTAAATCGAAATAAACAAATATGTACAAGTTACAGTCAATAACTCTTTTTAATGGAGTCATCTTACATTCAGGATTGTTTTCCCTTCAGGTAGACACATTACCATTAAAATTTAAAATAAAGCCTTTTTGTGGAGAAGAAATGGGTTCCATATACCAAGTTCTGTGCTCAGTTTAAGCTAGGGCTGCCAAGTCCCCCCGGGGGGCGAGGAAAACCCCGCCCCAGAGGCCCGTTCTCTGCCGCCGGCGGATCAGGCCCCGGGGGAAACCCCACCCCGGCGTGCGCGTCACCAGGAAGTGACGTTATGTCGCCGGGCACACTGGGGGCGAGGCCACGGTCATCCGAGGGAAAACTCTATAGTCATTTCATAACGTCATTTCCTGGTGACGTGCATGTGGCGCACGTGCGTTTCGCGTGCACGCACTCCAGCCGCAGACTGGGAGTCCCCCGGTCCGCAGGTTTTTCGACTTGGCAACCCTAGTTTAAGCCTTTTAATCATAATGTACATCAGATCTTGTTTCTGTGCACTTTGCAACCCAGATTTACTGGCACTCAAAAAAAGTCTTCCTGAGTATACAAAAAGTATACAATACTCAAAAGATACAGAAAGACAACATACCTCAGTGTAGACAATAGCAGTCATCCAAAAACGCTTGCTAGGTCTTGGGACAGACAGCATGGCCCAAAGGAAGATAAGGATAGGAAGCACAAGGGTAATCATGGAGGCGGAGATCATGTGATTAAGAATAATCACGAAGTAGCACACCATTTCTGAACGGGCTACAAGTGTATTATAGAGAGCATAAATAAGCAGCAAAAATCGAGGCTGACCGGTATAGAACTTCTCGGAATCTTCCAGTTCTTCATCATGAAACATTCTACGGGAACAAAGTAACGTAATTTGCTGTATTAATATTTTAAATAAGTATTTTAATAGTGCAAGAACAGTGCAATATTATTTTAGAACAGGAGTCCCTAACCTTTTGGGACTTCAGGCACATTTGGAATTCTGACATGGCATGGTGGGCACAACAACAACATGACGGCCACGAAATGGCTGCCTCAGGAGATGGAACCAGCCACAAAATGACTGGCACAGATTAATTTCAGTAACACAGTGCTGCTGCCAAAGTAACATTTTCAAAAATCTGCACAGCCAATCAAATCTCCAGTAGTCAATGAGAAGCTATACTGGCCAAGAGCCCTAGCAGGCCCTGCCCCCTTCCTTAAAACACTTGGCAGGCACTAGAAAAGGAGTCAGCAGGCTCCCAGGCACCCACAGGCACCGTGTTGGGGACCCCTGTTTTACAGCAGAGCACTTTTTTGATTCTTAAACTTCTTCTGTAAAGCTAAATAAAAGATAAAAGGCACAGTTACATGCAATCTATGTAGTACATACAGTGAAAATCTCATGTGTGATATCATGGCATGTACCTTCCATGTGGACATTACAAAACGTGTGAAGTAGTCCTCAATGAATGATAAAAACAAATCCCCAGAAGATTTTGCCTAAAACTACCAAAAAAATCTTACTTTCCCTGAAGGAAACAATCACTGCATTTCATTGCAAATTAGTTTCTATGTCACATTTGTGAGCAGAAAAGGAAACTTGTATAAATGGAAAAGGAAACACTAGTGTGATGCACTGATTAGTGTTGAACTGGGAATCACAGGGTCAAATCCCTTTTTACCAAGAAAAACTTGGTCCAGCCTAATCTAGTTTTCAGGGTAGTTATAAAAACACAACGGAGGAAAAGAGAACCATACATTCTTCCTTCAAGTGCCTGGAGGAAGCATAAGATAACAAATGTAATAAATATACTAACAAATAATACAGTTTCATGGCTTGAAGGCACAAGATGCAGCTAAATTAAGGTGGGCAACGGTGTTGGTCTGAAGCAGCAGAACAAAGTTTGAGTCCAGTGGCACCTTTAAGACAAACGAAGTTTTATTCAAAGTGTAAGCTTTCGTGTTCAATGCACACTTCTTCAGACAAATGGAATAAAATCTCCTCAAGGGTTATTTACAGGGGGGGAAGGGTGGGGGGCAGCCGTTAGGAGGGGCCACTCAGAGCCACGATGCCTATACAGGGCTGAAATTGTATCAGGTGGCCGGTAAGATTAGCACATAAGATTAGCAGCAAATTAGCACATAAATGCAAGAGTTAACAAAAAGATGTGAGAATGAAGCTAGAGTCCAGCAGTACCCCCAAGACAAAGGCACCTAAATTACTGCAGCTAATCAGGTATAGGAATGGCTCATACTTGGTTAGGAGTACCCTATCATGCATGCCACTGGTATCAACTGAAAGGATGGGCAGGGTATAAGCATCATACACAGAATTTAATTAATGTATTTGAGAAGACAAACACACTGTTGACCACTATACATTAGTGTGTTAAAGTAATTGCAATGAAAAAGCTGTGTGTTTTCACATTCCAGCTAAACAAAAACATTTCATTATTACAAGATTTCCTTTATAGACATGAATGTTTCTGTGAAAAAAGTTGTTGTATGGTTCTTACTTGTTTAGAAGCAGTTCACTTGCAGTCAACTCATGGGTCAATGGGGGGAGTATAGCATCTTCTGATTTGTCAGCTTCCAGTTCATCTGGACTCACCATCATATGGTTTTTGTCTGAAGAGCCATCTTGGGAACCATCTAAGGGGAAAAGTTCCAAGCTCACAGCTTTGCTATACGAGGGAGGGGGTTCAGCAATACCGTCCAAACCGGAATAGGATGGCACATCTGTGTCAGAGGTATATGCAGCTCCTTCAGAATCCAGACAATAATCTTCCATATCATGCTCTTGTCTTGATGCACTTTCTGCCCCTTCTTCATGTTCCTCCCCTTCAACTTCTTCAATGGTTTCTGTTGTCCCCTGACGGGAATACAGCATGGTGATTTGGGTGGCTTCACTGTCAGGAACATGGGGAAGAATATCTTTGTCAACTTCTTATTTCATAGCTTTCCCCACCCACCCCAAATTCTGTTCTGTTGCTGGATTTTACTGAGCCAGTTCTAGTGGAACTGCCCTTCCTGTCTTAATCATGATAACGCGTATTGTGTTGGATCCAAAGATGCCTTTCTATTGCCATAAGGGCCATTCTGTTAGCATTGACTTAGAAAAACATTGTCGTATGCAATATCGTTCTGCCACTAGCACAGAATGCAGACTGCAGTGTCAACAGATTTCAGCCAAGCCCCAATTCCCCTGACAAGACAAAAATACAACAGCCAGTGTCCCAAGTCCTCTGGGACTCACGTGAGCTGAAGCCTACTTCCAGGGTCCCAAGTACGACTCCCTCCATATGGCTGGCTAGCCTTGGTAAGCCTGAGGAGAACAGGTATGCAGTGGGGAAATGGCTGTAGCAATTGCAAGGAGCTAACGCTAGCAGGGATTTCAGCTCTTTTTGCCGTTGCTGTGCCTGTCATGCTACCTTTTGACCTGCTCCTACTTCATACATTCTGGTCGCAACAGCTGAAGTTGGGGAGCACAATTTCACTTTATAGTAAGTCCCACAATATTGTCTCCATTGACTTCCACTAAAGGCACTTTGGATCCAACCACTTGTCAGCAATGTTGCTAACCGCTAATCAAAATTCCATTCTAATTAGCTTTTGAAGCCAACATTGCAAACTGTAATTTTTTTTAAACAACAGCCATCTAGTTTAGGAATCCTAGATTGAAAGTGGAAGGGACAAAAAAGAACAATTAAAATTCCATACGATTCCATATAAGTCTACGAGTATGAATGTAAAGATGTGAGAGATGCTTCACATGAGTACATAAACATTTTTACTCACACTGAAACATAAACACCAAACTTGTGAATTTTTGCAAAGTTAAAAAAAAAAAAGTCAGGGTACACAAGTGAAAGTATGGATGGGTTAAGCACCTTGACACGATGCTGCCACTGTCTGCAGATGAGGAGGACATATCCATGCTGTACATTTTACGAAGCCTAGGTCGTGCACGCTCACTTGTTTTAGGAATAAGGTCTGTTCCATCTATATCGTCAAGGGTTGACTGTCTTGACAATAACAGCATGGTTGCTTCAGTACAGCAGCTAGCAGAGTAAACAGTTAACAAAGTTAAATACCATCAAAACGTTTACTTGGTACAGTAGTGAACATGCTTGCTAGCCATGCACAATACAAAGACAGAGACAAAACATTCAGGGAGGAGATAAGGAGTTTTTTTGTTCTAGAATAAAGGTAAAGGTTCCCTTGCTCAAAAGCCAGTCGAATCCGACTCTAGGGTTGCGGTGCTCATCTCCGTTTCAAAGCCGAAGAGCCAGCGCTGTCCGAAGACATTTCCGTGGTCATGTGGCCGGCATGACTAAACACCAAGGCGCACGGAACGCTGTTACCTTCCCACTGAAGTGGTACCTATTTATCTACTTGCAATTTCTTGCTTTCGAACTGCTAGGTTGGCAGGAGTTGGAACTAGAGACAGGAGCTCACTCCGTCATGCGGCACACTCGGGTCTCGAACTGCTGAACTACCAACCTTCCACAGCCTGCAGTTCTGCGTCAACAACGAACTGTTGACATAAGGACTACCATATCTTCCCTCTACTCTCCACCTTTTAAGGGACCTTTGGTGTTAGAGCTTTGATTAATTGATATTTCTTATATTTGCAGCTGGAGCTGCCATTGTTTCACATTCTTGTTCTCAGAAGGCAACCTAAAACAATTCTATCGGTCAGCTATTAAATCTGCATTTAAAAGAGTATCTATACCAAAAAATGTCCTAGGGTCATGGCCTGAAACATATCCTCCCCTCCTCTGCATTTCTTTTTTTTTTAAACATCCAGGTTGAAAAAAAGTTCTGAAGAATTCAAAAGGTCATGCACTGTTTTCTGTCATTTTAAAGGAAATAATGTAACTTGTGTTTGCAATTTTCTTTGGACCAATGTAACTACTTGGAACCTCTACCCAGAGAAAATGCAGAAGTTTGAACCCATAGTCAAGGCTGGAAATTGCTGCTTAACTCTCCTTCCCTTGAATGGTGGAATGTTAAGGGCAACTAGAGGACAGAACAGTCATTGATAAAAAAATATCTCGTGGATATTTGTAAAAATATGTTTCTTCATACATGTAAAGATTGAGAACAGTTAGGAAAACAGTATTCAAGAGGAGCAATACTAGAAACAGTTTGTTAATTAAAGGTAAAGGTTCCCTTGCTCGAAAGCCAGTCGAATCCGAAGAGCCGAAGAGCCAGCGCTGTCCGAAGACGTTTCCGTGGTCATGTGGCCGGCATGACTAAACCCCAAGGCGCACGGAACGCTGTTACCTTCCCACCGAAGTGGTACCTATTTATCTACTTGCAATTTCTTGCTTTCAGACTGCTAGGTTGGCAGGAGCTGGAACTAGAGACAGGAGCTCACCCCGTCTTGCGGCACCCGGGTCTTGAACTGCTGAACTACTGACCTTCCACAGCCTGCAGCGTCTTAACCACTTGAGCCACCGCAGCTCAATTACAATGCTGCAAATTGTAAGTTTGCAAGTGGTGTCAAGTCACAACTGAATGGTGACCCCAGCTAGGGACTTTTAAAGCAAGTGGGAAGCAGGGGTGGTTTGACATAAATAAATGCTGAATAGCAGACACCTAGACAAGTCTGATATGTTTAAATTATTTCACTTATTAAATAGTTTGTATAAACTAAAAGTTCTTTAAATAAAAAAAAAGCAATTAAGATGCCCTTGTGTAACTATAGTACTAGCATCCAGGAATGGGTATTGCCCTTTAAGACTTCAAGATGAGAGGAGAAAGTAGAATGGAACTGCTCAAGAGATTTCAGTTTCTGACGCAGCTGACAAAGAACGCTTAGAATATAGTCTCCGTGCACCTTGTACAAGTCAGTGTGGTGTATAGCAGAATATTCAAAGTTTTGTAGTGGTTACATTATGGCTGTATTCTTTGTTATGTATTTGAGTCTGTAACAGGGTTTTGCATGAAGACGTGGAATAAGGAAAGCTGACATCTTGTGGCAGGCTAATAAAAGGGCCAAGTTTATTTATTTACATTGATCAAAGAGGATCTGCAGTGTCCATAGGCCAATCTCCAAACCAAACCTAGTCACACTGCAGGCATTTGGCGGAATGCTGAAGAGACAGGCCACCACTGTTTGCACATTCCTGATATTATGGGCAAGATCATCCTGGCTCTGGGTTTCGTGCCTTTACTACGCAAGGCTCAGGCTCTTCCTTGTCAAGCCGTCATGATACTCAAGGGAAGTGTGACACTTCCTGTACCTCAGCCACTGGCCCATGGGTTGAGGAAAATGACATCCCTCAAGGGGCTCCCGTCCCAGGACCATCAAGGCATTGCGCCCCCAGGCCTGGTCTCAGGATCACCCCTTTACCCTACAAATGAAATTGTAAGGTTTTCACCTAAGCTGTACTACATACCATTCAAGCAACTTTACTCACATGGCAAGGCGGGATATAAATTCAATTTCAATTTCAAAACCTTTATTGGCATAGATCAGAATCATAAACCGTCACCCTTCAGTTCATGAATTTAGCACACAGCTTCCTCATTATAAGACCATTACAGAACTTAGCCACCGATTCAATAACCACTATATTTTGTGAAGCCAGTAAACGGTACAATCTTCTGTCATCAGATTGCTTGACATCTTTCTTAAGAATAGCTTCTAAATAGACTGCTCGAATGTCATCATACAAACTACAATAAAGGAATACGTGTTCGGTTGTTTCAATCTCCTCTGAATCACAATAATAAAACCTAACTGAGTAAGGGATTTTCTTAAATCTTCCTGCTAAAACCGTAGAGGGAAGCACGTTAAAACGGGCCAGCATAAATGCTCTACGCAGCTGTGGGGAAGTCAAATCCGATAAGTATTGTGCAGGGGCACTGATCGGAAAACGTGCCCATCTTAAAGGGGAACATCTACCAGAAGCCAAGGCTCTAAACTCTTGCATCTCAATATCAATTAATCTCTGTTTGAGAGGGCAAAGATGTGTATTTCAGATAAGGCCATCATCTCATTCAAGCATAAGCCTATTGAGACGATTTTCCTTTCTATAGCAGCAAACCACTCAGAACAATGAGACTATCTCAACAGATATGTAATAAGGCTATTGGGACAATTCCTAAAATGCAAACGTAGTCAAAATCTGAAAGTAATTATCCAAGCCCTTGTTTCCAAGCGTATCAAATTGACTTCCAAACAAATGGCAGCATAGGGAACACACAGAGGCAACCCCAGTATTTTCCTCACAAAATTGGACTGAAGTTGTTCTACCATTTTGTTGAAAGCAGTGATCCAAATGGGTACCCCATAAAGAAGCTTCGCTCCATTTTTATGCTCAAACACTTTTAGGGCCGCAGGAACATACTGGTTACTCTTGGTTAAAAAAGAAACTGGTTATTGCTAGCACACAGCTATTCGCAGATTTAATTGCTTCTGATCTATGGGCTACCCACCTTGCACTATGGTGAAAGTTAATTCCCAGATATTTAAAACACTTCACCTGTTCGATGGTTTTACCCTTAACACGCCAATTGATAGGTTTCCGGGAATCTCCGAACACCATTATTTTAGCTTTATCAAAATTCACGGATAACCCGTTCAGCTCACAATATTCTATAAAATGTGCTAACAGCCTCTTCATCCCTACTTCTGACCTAGAAAGAATTACAGCATCAGCTGCATACAATAGCAGGGGCACCGGGTGCGAGCTCAAAATTGGGCTGTGTCCAGCAATCCCCTCTAACCCCGTGGCCAAATCATTTAAAAAAAGATTTAAAAGGAGGGGAGAGCCAATACACAGCCCTGCTTAACCCCTATATTGATGGAAATTTTCGGGGTTAAAACACCATCCCTAGAGCCTCTTACTTGGCAAGTGGTATCTGTATATAATTTCCTAATGAACAGGAGCAATCTCATGTCAATTCCCAACATCCTTAACTTCTTCCATAGAAGCTCCCTCGAGACCGTATCAAAAGCGCTCTTCAAATCTAGGAAGGCAGCGTACAACTTAGACCCTTTCCCTTTTTTGTATTTATTCACTAAGTGACTTAACACAATACAGTGATCCAAAGTTGACTTCCCCTGACCAAATCCTGCTTGTTCTATACCTAAGATTTTTTGTTCTGTCATCCAGGCCTTAAGTTTAGACGCCAGATGGCTTGCATAGTTTCCCTAGTATGGAAATCAGGCTAATGAGCCTATAATTACTAGGCAATCTACTACTAAGAAGGATGCCCACCATTCCGGAATCACTTTAATGGCCTCTGGGGGAATTGCGTCTGGTCCCGGTGCCTTCCCGGTCTTAATTTGAGCCATTAACTTGACAATCTCCACATCCTGCACTGGCGGTTACTCAGGACAGTCCCCTAGGCTGATCACCAGATCCTCAACTTCACTCCTTCCATCTACCAAAAAGATCTTCTGAAAATGTTCATACCAGGCCTTGGTGGTAATTGGGGAGTTCATAGTACTCTTAGAGTCAATTTGCTAGAGGAGGGGAAATACTATTTCGTTCCCCAATGGGCGACCAACTTGCATTCACTCTGAAATAAAGATAGGGTAGGTCAGTGTCTCCCCCACTGATGGTCAAAAGAGAAGGGCAGGGCAGACACTGGCTTCTGTATGGCTTTCCTCCACTTCCCCAAGCCATTATGCAAAGAAGGTAGCATCAGGCTATACAGCTCTGGCTCTCCCTTCTGTCAGCTGCAGAACCCCCCCTCCCCCCTACAAAGGCATGAGTGTGGAACAAGGCAGAAGACTTCCTATTCAGAAATTTTCCTCAGTTCAAGGAGGCCATAGCAGCAATGAGCATAGACTGTGGCTTGTAAAAACTACAGTAACTTCAGTATTATGTGATTGTACCCTAGTGGTGTTTGTTTATTTGATTTTACACACACACACACACAGAGAGAGAGAGAGAGAGAGAGAGAGAGAGAGAGAGAGAGAGAGAGAATGAATGAATATTGGGCATTAATGTTTCACTCCATTCCCCAAGAAACAGCATTTTCCCCAGCCCAACTCATCCCTGCAACTGACTAGGCAAGTTGCCTTGGCTAATCACCCTTCTTTCTTGGAGGGAAGGGAAATTTTAAGCTGTAGCCGTGTTTTATGTTGACCATTTGGCACCACCTGTGTACTGTGTTCATGCTCCTTGCATCTTGGAAAAGACTCCTTGCTAGGTTTATGCTAGACCCCAGCCAGCCAGATTCTGCTTCTTGACAGACTGGTCTGATTAATATATTATTACTACTAGCTAGCCTTTACTCCATACTCCCCCCTTGGGGGAGGGTTACATTTGGTTGCTGGGGGGAGAGTTTGGAAGTGGTATTGTTTTCATTGTTGTTTTGGATTCTTTATGGTTTAATATTTGGGTTTTTTGATCTTCTGCCTTTTGTTTTCTGAGCTTCTGAGGCGTTTGCTTCTTTTTCTTAAAATGTGGTTCATTTTTCATAGTTTGTTTTTTTCTGGCTACCTTCAGGGTTATCTGTTTTCCACCTTTTTGTAGATTAGTGATTTGGAGTAACATCAACTTTTTCATTGCTTAGGTTGGATAAGTAGGCTGCCAAAGAACCAACTGCAGTATGATATGAACTTGCTATGATTAAAAAATGCTCCTCCGCAATGCCTCACTAGACAGACACTCTGGAAAAGACTACTTTTACTCACCATTACTAGGTTTGGGGGAAAGAATGCTGCTCTAGAAAAACAGCAGCCATTTTGTGTGTTTTCCCACTATGCATAGAGGACAGCTGGGGCACCTTATACAAGGGGCTGTAAAACTGTCCCCCATTGTCCAATTCACTTGAAACTTGGGGGGTCTTAAGAAGAGAGAGTGAACTAGGTACCCTGGCATTTTGATATGATTTAGTGGGAAAAGTCTGCTCAGGAAAATCTGCCATGGAAAATAATGAGCAGACATCCAATCCAATCTTTATAAAAATGGAATTGAAACCTGATGAATCATCATGATACAACACTTCCAAGAATTATTAAAGCCAATACATTATCTCTTTCTTAAACCATGATACAGAATTGAATGATAATTTTTCCAATGGCCACCCCAGCTAGGAACGGTTTTATTTTTCAGCAATTCTGTAGAACACTGCCTGTACCACCCCCCTTACAGCTCTCTAAGAAAAAGGGCTAATTATTTCCTTTAAAAAAATGAATGCAGGGCATGATAGAGTTGCCAGCCTCAAGGTGGGGCCTGGAGTTCTCCCAGAGATTAGTTCCTGGGGGAAATGATGGCTTTGGAAGAAACGGGAATCCTAGAATTGAACCACATCTCCATTGAGCTACCTACTATTCCCAAAGTCTACTCCACTCCCCATTTCAAGGAATTTCTCAGGCTGGGTTAGCAACCCTAGAACAAGGTGTTGGCCTCAGGCTCAAAACACTTCAGTTCTCTACCTCAGCCCATGGCTCCTGCTCTGCAGTGAATCTTATCCTGAACGTCTTAGGGTTCTGAAGAACAGACTGTCATGCCGTACTATTCTTAATAAGACTGCTATAGCCATGATCTTATAACTTTTATTTTGTTGTTCTCATTCTGAAACCTACCGAAAAGCATGCTGCTTGGAGTGCCCTTAAGTTTCCTTAAGAGCTGCAGGGGTTGCAGCTGCAGCCCACTGAGGCCCCTGGAATTTTGTTCCTAGGTAGGGTTGACAGGTCTCCTTGTTGCTCTGATGGGGGGATTTTGGGGGCATTCCAGGGGTAGGTGAGCAGGGCGGGGTCCTGGGAAATCAGCCCTGTGCATGAGGTCCCCACCCCACTCGCAAAGGGTCTTTTTGTGAGCAGAGCATGTGGGCGGCAACAGCCCCTCTCCTTCCCTCCTGAAAGATTTAAAGAGCCCTCTAGCTGATCAGCGGTCCATGTGCTCCCCACAGATCAGCTGAAGCCCTTTAAATCTTGCAGGATGGGAGGGAGAGGGGTGGCCACAGGTGGTTGCTCTTGCTGATGGGGCTTCCCCTCCAGCCAGCAGGCTGCCAGCAGATTGGAGCCCCCAAAAGTAGGGAACCCCTGCCCGGACCTGGGGGCTGGCAACCCTATTCCTAGGAGGTTGGAGCCCTTTGATGTTTTAAGGAATACAGGCCAATAACTTTGGTATAAATGACAACATGAGAAACAGCATCTTGAAGTGCATAGCTGACCCAGTCTCAGGAGACTTTAACTTCAAACAGCTTTTTCAAGAGAACAATAGCCTCCCTCTATAGTGACAGAAATACTGTTACAGAAAGTTATAATAGGGGCTGGGCCATCCAAGTTTAAATCCTCACTTGGCCACAGAAGCTTGCTGGGTGACCTACAGCCAGTCATACAATATAAGTCTAATCTACCTCACAGGATGATCGTAAGGGTAAAATGGAGGAAAGAAATAGCCATTTTGGATTCCCATTGGAGAGAAAAGTACAAATGAAGTAAATAAGTAAAGCAGAGCAAAAATAATAATCAAAAATGCAGAAAAGTTTTGTTGCTGTCATGCTTCTTTAATGTGAGGGAAATATGGATCTAATGCAGGTGCTGTTTATCTATCCTAGTAACATATCCCCAGAAGTTTTTAATTTCATGGACAAAACCCAGCATTATCAATTTAGATGGCACTTGCCATCATATTATCTTCTTTGTTGTTGTTGTTCAGTCGCACAGTCGAGTCCGACTCTTCGCGACCCCATGGACCAGCTCTTATTATCTTCTACATTATATTAATGTGCATTAATATTCATGTGTGATACCTGGATTCACTGTCACGTGAAGGGGCTGATTCGAGACTTGCTGTCCTCTCAGCTGCCAGTCCAGATTCATCAGTTCTATCCAGTCCCGATTCCCTAGAAAGTTTCATCATTTGGTTCTGGTAATACATATGTATACTCTCTCGAGTTGGCACATTACCCTAAGAAAAAAAGATAGAATTTAAAAGATAGAATAAAGCATTTTTCTTCTATGAAGTGTGGCAATTGGATGCATCTTTTTATGTATCCTAAGAAGAACAAAATGGCTAAAGGGTGTAGCTGATCAGAGAGTCAGGGGTGTCTCTCAGTGCCTTCATAAGAAGAGTTATACTCATCTAGGTCTACTGAAGACAGTGAGCTTAAAAAGGGTGTAACTCTGCTTAGGATGGCACTGTCAGGGTTATACCACAGAACAGGAGTGGTATTCTTCCTACCATCAAGTCTTTCCCAAAGGGTTTCTCCATGCTCAATTATACATAAAATTTGGAAACTGCAATAATCATAATATTCTGCTTCCACAATCATTTAAAAAGAAGCACAATATAAAAGCATTCATATTCAGCAACAACAGAACAGCTGAGGGCCTGAGATTACAAACCTGGCATGTAATGTCATCATATACACAATATGAGCATGCCATGTTACCTTTTTGATTTCCCTAGTAAGCATGCATCTCTCGATTCTTAGCACAGTGGAAATGTCAATGTGCTCTCTGGAAATTGAATTGAGCCAAGCTGTAAAACTATCTATTGTTGCCAGAAAAAGAACCCAGGTGAACTTCAAAATGTTATATATTCTTTTGATAATGTTATCTGGGGGAAAGAGAAGAAATAATGGTTAGAAAATTAGCAATCATTACAGAAGCAAATATTTGTGGATGATTTGATAATATCTAGCACATAGTAACTATTCTTACTATTCTTTATTTGGTGTTTTTAATTTTAAGGCCCAGATCACTGGCCCAACATTTCAACTGCAGAAACTTCACTTGATTTTTTATTATTAAAAAACCATTCATTAAAACTTTTAGGAGACCTCTGAACCATTTTCTATTTTTGTAGAAATAATTTCTATGATCAGACAACGCTGGGTCTTACTGCATTCTATTTTCATTATCTCACGGGCATTTCAAAATCTATATACTATGGCAAAGGCCCCCTCGCTGTCCTGTCAGCTGCCTTCTGTTTTTAGTGTGTCAAAACAGCTGAGATAATGCAAACAGATACATTTTATTCTTTTTACTTTTCAAGTGTAGCTGATATGAAACATATTTAAGAAGGACAAAAAAGTAGTTAAACTAGTTTCTCTTGCTACACAGTTTTATACTGTCTGGAACAATCCCATTTGTGCTGGTAGAGCTGTGCCTCTTAGTACATAATTGTCAGGAAATTCTACAGCAACTGTCTGGCTTGCCTTTAATAAATAGTCATGCTGTCTTTCATTTATGGATTTAATGGACTCCCTTTCTTGCTTTGCTGCTTACCAGGTCCATCAGATTTCTTTTTGACATGTTCCTCTTTTTCTTCAAATTCCACATCTATAGCAACTGACAAATCAACATTAATGTAATGAGCAAATGTTTCTGGCAGTTTATACTTATTTAGTAAAAATACAGAGATGCCTGCTCTTTACTGTAGGCAATTTCACATTCTACATAGTTCATGCATTTAAGACACGTCATTATATTATATTAACCGTGACAGTCTATGAAGTCTTAGTTTGTTTCATCAATTAATATTTAGAAGTACAAATGACATGGCTCCGTCTGAGTTGAATGTCTGAATACAGGGTTGCCAACCTCCAGGTGGAAGCTATTACAACCGATCCCCAGGTGGCAGAGATCACCTGCAGAAAATGGCAGTTGTGGCAGTTAGACTCTATAGTATTATGCCCCAAACCCTGCCCTCCTCAGGCTCCACCCTCAGGCTCCAGATATTTCCCAACCCAGAGCTGGCAACCATATCTGAATTGGTTTGGTTGTTCAGTTACTTTCTCCATTGCCAATCAAAACCACCTTAAGTACTAGCTATACTTCACTACATCTGCTTCTTTAGAGGTGGCTGCCAGTATAATGCACAATGTTTTCTGCTATATCCTCCTGCAGAGCTAACCTGCTAAACTGTAAAACATTTTCCATTTTACTGCCATATATGGAAACATTAGCATGGAGCTTATTTATCATGAGCAGAATGGCACTTGGAAGGAGGAGGAGGAGATTGGATCTATACGCTGCCCTTCACTCCGAGTCTCAGAGTGGCTTACAAACTCCTTTCCCTTCCCCTCCCCACGACAGACACCCCGTGAGGTAGGTGGGGCTGAGAGAGCTCTGAGGGAACTGTCCTTGAGAGAACAGCTCTGACAGAACTATGGCTTGCCCAAGGTCATCCAGCAGCTGCAAGTGGAGGAGTCGGGAATCAAACCCGGTTCTCCCAGATTAGAGTCTGCACACTTAACCACTACACCAAACTGGCTCTCTTTTTTCAGGGGAAAGTGCGAATGTAGTCCCCCACTACCAGGGGTCAGCACACCTGGAGTGCAATGGATGAGCCTCACCCTGGGAAAACCTTCTTTGCGATCAAGGTGTCTCCCCTGCCAGGGAACCCGACTCCCACTACAGCCTGTTGTGGCCCTGAAATTGCATACATACCATCCTCAGATCCTTTCTGCCTTTGTTTCCCTACTTTCTCATACTTTTTCTTCTCTTTGCGCCTCTGTCTGAGGGCAGTTTTAGGGTCAGTAATCCAGGCCTGATAAACAAACTAGAGGGAACAAATGAATTTATTTCAAGTTTGTCAGAAAAGAAAACATTAAATCAAGCGAAAAACTGGAATATAGATTTTAAAGTAAGCATCTGTGAGATCAAGCAATCATTTACAATTCTATTGCAAATACTACAAAAAAGTAACATTTTTTTTGCACTATTTTTGATTGCTTAACAAACCAAAAGATGAAAACCATTGTGGTTTCTTATGAGTCTCCATTGAAAGTCATGGTCTGAATTTGGGGAATCGATGCACTGTTTAGATATGGATGACTTTGTACTGATGATCAAAAGTTGCAACAGGAATTGTCACAAGTTTTCAAATTAATCTTTAAAAAAAGACATCAGGGATGTCCGGGTATCTTCCTTGTATGAAAAGAAAGAGCTGCACTGGGAGAGACCACCGGGAACAAGCCCATCGCATAACAGAACTCTGCTCATATTCTCTGGATTCAGGACATAACAATTTGCGTTTCAGCTTAGAATTGGTGGTGCTTGTGAGTGCACCAATTATTTGTTTTCCCTCTATCAATCACCAAGAAATTTATTAACAGAGCCTAAGACACTAAATAAATAGTCTGGATTTATTAGTGGATCTAGGACCATTCTGAGCACCCCCCAATGCAGGCAGTCGTTTTCTGACTGTGGAGGTTAATGCTCTTATTATGACACAAACAAATAATTTCATGCATTGTAACATCTGATCCACTCAAAATGGTGGGCTGTGTCTCAATTCCCCTTTGTTTCTCAGATATAATCTGTATAATTCCTAGAATAAGTGTCAAATTGGGTGGAAGCTGATATACAGGAATGCTTCTCTACAAGAAAGGCACCTCTCCCTTTCCTCATGTGGCAAGCTTCTTCATCTGGAAGAAGGCTAAGATAGAACCTTCTGCATGCAGGCAGTTTGATACACTGGAATGTTGAATAAAATGATACTACTTCTGAATTATAAAGTAGTGCAGTTCCAAGGCTGTCCCTATGCTTCAGCTCCTTCCGCGATGCTGTTGTAGAGTGGAAAATTCCACAGTTACCTTGTTGACAGAAATACATTTAGAAGTGCTGCTGGGGGAAAAGGAGGATTCAGACTCTTAGCTGAGAGTCCCCAATTATGTCACCCTCAAAAAGGCTTACATGTTATTTCTCTAATTTGGTCATGACTATTCACACTGGCATATCTTACCTACTGGTTGTGGTGGAAAGTGCCATCAAGTCACAGATGCCTTATGGCAACCCCATAGGGTTTTCAAGGAAAGAGACATTCAGAGGTGGTTTGCCATTGCCTTCCACCATATCACAACCCTGGTATTTCTTGGAGGTCCCCCATCCAAATACTAGCTAGGGCTGACCTTGCTTAGCTTCTGAGATCTGACAAGATTAGACTAGCCTGGTCTATCCAGGTCAGGGGATCTTACTTACCAGGCCATATGAATTAGCTTCAGTAATGGCAAAACGTCATATTTCATAATAACACACCAACACTACTGTTAAAGCTCCTCATCTTAGACTTTTATTTTCTGGCAATGGAAATTTTAGTACAGGACTTCAAATTAAGTTTTAGGTTTCATCTAACATTTGTGATCTGCTCTCCAGTCTCTAATGATATTGGCTGATCTTTAATATGGGAACTCGATTTACGTTCATGACACTATAATTACCACACATTACATTACATATTTATATTCCATTGCACAAAAACATGATTAAAAAGAATAACAAGAACTAAGCATTGTCTGATAGCAGTTTGAGACAAAAGATGTTGCGCTTTTGCCTGTATGATTTTCTTTCCAAGATGAAAATCATCCTCAGCTGGCATTGCCTAAGTATGCATTTAATCAAAGACAGCTACAGCCAAAGAACAAACACACACACACATGCAAAGGAAAGAGAGATAGGAAGACAAAACCGAACCGAAGAGTTGCCACTCCCAACATAAGCATGCACAAACTGTCTCAGGGAAGCTGGAATACTGCCATTGCTGAAAATAACATTTTCAAATGCTGCTTTATTGGTAGTTCCTGATCTACAAAAATCACTCTTGAGTATCATGAAAACAATGGGCTGGATCCAGTGACTCCTTTCTGCTAAACTGGACCTAATGAAACCTTTTTGCTTAGTGAAAGGGAGTCACTAGATCTAACTTAATGGATGGCAGCTATTGGATCTATCCCATTTGCCTTTAAAAACCTCTCAGGATTTTTTAACCAAGTCCCGAAGGGCAATAAAACAAAACAAAACAAACCATCTGCTTTAGATCTGAGAGGAGGCTTAGAAGTGCTGTCTCCTTCCTTATTTATTTATTTGTTTGTTTTCTTAGACTATAGATAGAATATTTCTATGTTGCCTGTTCAGTGTCCTGCACAATAAATATGCTTTATGCAAACATCTTAGTAACTAAAACTTCAGGTTTTTCAATTTTAAAAAGCATTATCTAACAAAAACTGATATGAAGAAAATATAGCTTTCTGAAGGCAATAGCTACAAGTAAAGAATGGTTGAAGCAATGCCATTAGTACGTCACTGTCTAAGTTTAAAACTGACCTGGTTGGGCAGCTGTGTTGGTCTGAAGTGGGGGTGTGCATTCGGCTCAGCTGAGCCGAATATAACCCCGAAAAACCACCTATTCGGCAGTATTCAGGGCAGCTGCAGCCAAATCAGATTCTCTGATCTGATTCGGCTGCCCGAATACAATGGCCCCAAATAGCGCAGAAAATATTCAGCCTCTTCCTTAGCATTCAGAGTAGAGGGTACCTAATGACCAATCACTGCCATGCATTTAGAAATTGCAGATGCATTGTGCAGCTCTGCAAGGCTGATGTTGCTGCTGGGCTATTCCAGCCACCTTGCCACCTACCTTGCTGGGGGGGGGGAGACTTGCAATTCTTCCAATAGAATTGCAAGTTGCAATGCTCTTTGGCCAATCAGTGTTATTTTTTCAAACTGTTCTGTGCATGGGCAGAGAGCATTTAAGCAGCAGGAGTCCTATGGCTGCACTCACTCCATTTTGGCTGGCTGCTTGGCTGGAGTGGAGATTGCTGGCCTTGCCTCCCCTCAGCTGCCTACCTGCTGCTGCTGCTGCTCTGCCTGGCCTGCTCTTTATCTCTCCTTGCTGTGTGGATGTGGACTGCCTAAAGACATCACCTGGTAATTGTACTTCTACTAAGTTCAGCGTAATATTTGTTAAAATATTATTTTAAGGGAAAAAATTAAAAGTTTTTAAAAGTTTTCCTTCACTTTTTCTATGTTGGGCGGGTGACCTGGTCGGGTGGGTGAGTTCTGTTGGCTGTGTTGGGATGGTGGTGGTTTGGCTTAGCTTTAACTTAACATTTTCAGATATTTTAAAAACGTGTTTTAAAAGTTAAAATTTTGTTGCTCGTTTTAACATGGGTGAATTGTTCATTCCTTCTGGTTGCTTGGGGGAAACTGTGTGTGAGCCTTGTTGTTCTGTTCACCTAGTTCTTCATTCTTGGGTTGTGTTACCTTACCTGTTTCATTGTTGTGAAGGTTTGGCTTTTGATATTTTCACTGTTCTAGAGTTTGCATTCCTTCTTTTTGCTCGTGGTGGGTGAACCTGGTGGAGGGGTGTGGGTTGCTGCTTTTTTGGCTTGTTGAAACCTTGTGGGTTGCTTGTGTTAGTTCCTGTTGCAGTATTGGGAAGGTTTGGCTTTTGATTTTCACAGTGTAATAGTTCTTTTGGTTTTTTGGGGCGATTAAGCTGGTGGTGTGGGATGGTTACTAGATTGTTGTTTTGGTTTGTTGGTCACTAGTTCTCTCTTGGGTTGTGTTGTTGCATTGTTGTATAGGTTTGACTTTAGAGATTTTTACTGTTTAAAGTTTATACATATCCCCTCTTGGTTGCTGGGGCAGCTCCTGGCAAATAAGCAATGTCCCAACAGTTTGCTTTCCATGAAATTGTCTGGGGGAGTTTGACTGCTGGGTGCCTGCCTGCCTGCCTGCCTGCCTTTGCTGGGTTAGGTTTTTTAATCCTCATAGGAAACAATGGAGGGAATGGGGACAACCTCTTAGGGTGACCACATGTGGAGAAAGGCTCCAGCAGCTACACTGTGAATTTGGTGCCTCTCCCTCAAATTCCGTCTCCCCCAGCCCACTAAAAGCACTCTGGGAAGCTTGACAATTCCCCCCCCCACCATAGAAAACAATAGAGAGAATGGGGGCAACCTGCTTGGGGCCCATAGAATTGGATCCCCTGGTCCAAACTTTTTGGAACTTGGGAGTTCTTTTGAAGGGAGACTCCAGCCGCTACACTGTGAATGTGGTGCCTCTCCCTCAAACCACCTCCCTCCCAGCCCCCAGATTATACCCTATGAGATTTTGCCATTGACTTTAATGGTCCATAGGGTATAATGGAACCATATATTCGGGATTTCAGAATATCTCCTGAACCAGACAGCATTGCTGAACCTGGTATTCAGTGATATTCAAGAGTCCTGAATATCTTAGCCCTAATAGCCCAAATCTGAATTTTACCAAATGTTTTCTCTGCACACCCCTAGTTTGAAGCAGTAGAACAAAATTTGAGTCCAGTGGCACCATGATTGAGAGGAGACAGATGGAGTGTAATAACAAGGTCTCAGTTAATTATTCTTAGCACTCCACAATTAAGAATGATACATTTACACATCTATCTCCAATTTTGACATATTTATTTGCTTCACTGTCTTTCCTTTAAATTAAAATCCAAACAATGGTGACCTTATAAACTTAGCTTCTTATTCCTGTTTGCCTCTGCTAAAACATCTTCATTATGTTGTATGCTAATTTGCTGTTTAAACGCTGCCTTATGTGTATGAATTGATAAAGTCCATTCATTGTATCAGAGGAAGTGTGTGTGTGCATATGAAAGCTCATACCTTGAATAAAACTTTGTTGGTCTTAAAAGGTGCCAGTGGACTCAAACTTTGTTCTAAGTTTAAAATTAGCATTAACTTATTTATGCATAATGTTGCAAACATTCTATGTGACATGACAAACACGGCTAAAGGATGCCTCAAGAAGGCTGGTGGATTATTAACATCAAAATGTACAAACTGCATACAGAAAAGAAATGTGGAGGCAAAGTGTGCCTAGTTACAATTCTTCTGACACTTAACCAGCTTTCTGAGAAAGGTTACCATGCTGGGTGGGGGGAAAAAACCATATTCGACAAGTTCAATGGGGTCCATATTTTATCCACTGTTAATAAATGCATGCAACCTGATTTCTTTTAAAATAGGTTAGGCAGAAACAATGGAATTATACCAAGATATACTTCTGCATTTTCACTCTGGGATTTATGATCACAACTGAAATGAGAGTGATTATTCATCCTATGATTCAATTTATTAAATGCTGAATGTACCAAACTCTTGCCTGTCATAAATTCTCACAAAGTTCACATAAGAGGGAAAATGCAGAAAAGAGAATGGGATACCCTAAACCAGAATATTATGGGATGAAATCACATTTTACATTGTAGTGAAACATCAAATACCTTTGCAGCTCTGATAAAATACTGAAGAATTGTTTTGGGCAGTTTAATAACAGACTTTGGCAAGGCTAAAATGGCAGAAGCAAATTTCGCAATAGCTCTCTATAAAGAAGGACAAAGCAAGAAATTAGTAAAGACATGACTGCTATTGTTATATGGAATCTACTGCACTATACTCAGTTAGATAACACAGGGTTTACATTACAAATAGGATCACACACTGTAAGTATTCAGTTTAGCACATATACATACAAATAAGTGACAGAGCATGTTATTTAATTATATACATAAAGAACATGCTTATTGCAAAACAAGGTTTCACATGAAAATTAGTCTTTAGTATATCACAGATAATAGTAGATACAGGTTGTTATCACACAAAAACCAATCTTTTCCTTACATACACACGAAAGCAAGCAACTATGACAGGGGAAAAAAATCACAGTATCTTACACCTCCAAATGTATTTGCTTTAAAAACAATTAAAGGGAACATGAACACCAAAATACAGACTCAGAAAGAAAGAAACAACTGCAGGATTGATCAGCCTGAGCTAATGGGAAATTTGATAGAAATTTTTAGACCTAAGTTATTTTAAATTTAAGATATATGAGGCTAAAACCATTAGGGTTCCCAGCCCCCCAGTCCAGGCGGGGTTTCCTCTGCTTTTGTGGGCTCTTCCCCATCACCCCGCCCACAAATGCCTCAGAAAGCAGTGTAATGACATCGCCCGAAAGTGATGCCATTGCGCTGCCAATGTCGCACTGCGATGCTCTAGTTTTTGGACAAAACTCTGTGGTAAATCTGGGCTCAAACCATAGAGTTTAACCCTAAAACTAGAGCGCCAATGTCAGCGGCATGATGATGTCACTTCTGGGTGACATCATTGTGCCATGTGTGCAAAGCATGTGTGGCAGAAGATCCTGGCAAGGCGCAAAGATCCCCCTGCCGGGAAGAAGGTAGAACCTGGCAACCCTAAATACCATCCACAGGAGAACAAGAAAATATTGTCCATAGGGATCCCAAGTCCCCCATTCCCCGGCGCTGCCGGATCGGCCCCGGGGGGAACTCAGCCCCAATGTGCAGAGTTTTCCCTTGTATGGCTGTGGCCCCACCCCTAGCATGCCTGGCGTCCTCCCGTCACTTCTGGGTGATGTGTGTGTGGCGCGTGCGCGCACACACTAGACGCTGGCCGGGAGCACCCCACTTCCGGCAAAAATCCACTTGGCAACCCTAATTGTCCATGAAGTAAAGCAGATCTGAATATGAGTATCTTATGAGGCTGATCATGTATACTGGCTCAAATTAATGCAAAAAACGGATACGTTTGCCCAGAGAAAGTGAAACCATCCTTTCTCTATAATGAAAGCACATGGTTTCATATAATAGTGTTCTGTTCATTTATGCATGTGGCCTGTACAGAATGCTGCTGCAAACTAGTATTACCATCCTACATACATGAACATACATTCTTGTAGTCAACTAGGTTTGCCAGCTCCGGTTTAGAAAATTCCTGAGGATTTGGGGGTGGTGACTGGGGAGTTTGGGGAAGGGAAGAGAGAGCTCAGCAGAGATTTCATATCACATCCTGTGATGTCACAGCCTACGATGTCATGTCCAGGTCAAAGGCCAGCCCCTTCAACTCCCCCTTCCTATGAGATCACTTCCTTCCAACAAATTTTAAATTTAAATTTCCAGCCTCATATCACTCCACCTCACCTTTTCCGCACCTTGCATCATGGGTTGGCATTGACATGCATGTGTTCTGTATGTCATGCTAACTCTTTGATCCACTCTGAGGATCCATAGGCTGTCAGACAACAGCAGTCCTCTCCCTCTCTCAATCCCTCTGGCCTTTAGTGTATTTACAGGTGACAATTAGTTTCTCTTTAGTATACTATAGATGAAGTCCTAGAGCATCTACCTTCTGTAGCCACTCAAGAATTTCCATTTCTCCTAGACTCTAAGGTATACCATACAGTCCACCCTCTAAAGCTGCCATTTCCTCCAGAGGAACTGATTCCTATAGTCTACAAATCAGTTGTAATTTCAAAAGAACTCCAGGACCCAACTTGAAGTTGGTAACCCTACCATCACTATGGCAGAGGAATATACCCTACACATTTGTGGAACTCTAGATATGAAAACTCTAATAGGAACCTATGAAAACACTTGGAACTAGATCATAACCCCAACCTAAACTACTTCCTCACCACTATTCCTTCTAATAAAACAGGTGTATCATTACAAAAGATATGTGGTAGATCTCACTTGAGGAATTGTACCTGGATCATCATATGGATACAACTTGTTTCTCATGTAAATGTTTATATGGTTATTTGACAAAGTCATCCTATGAGATTAAAACATTATGTCAGATTTAGTCCTATTACTTTAAATTCTCAGAATTCTGTCAGCACCAACAGCATCTAGGGTATATAACAAGAGGCTGCACAACATTGTCGTAGCTGTATATTAATGGTTCACTTCATCTCCAGCCTATGATATATTCTTGTTTTACATATGAGTTTTGATATTAATTAGGGTTACCTTTGGAAAAGGAAAATTTAGAAATGTATATTCAAAACTTGGTCTTTATTGCAAATAACTATTTTTTTAAAAGTTCAGCAGTTCTTCTTCCAAACACAAAAGCACCAAAGCAAACCTCAAGCAATGCCAATGAAAAGATGTTTTATTCACTTGTCTCCATAGCAACATCAGAAAAATAAAGTTTGGGATATGAAACTTTATTAAAAACAAAACAAAACATGATGCAGGTGCAAGTGAATGAAAATCCATCTCTGGTATTATTCTTGCATTGCAGAAATGTGGCAATATGAGCAAGCAATAATAAATGTTAAATTAGCACATTTTCATAAGCACCTCAAGTCAAGCGTTCATAGCAGGATCAATGCATTAACTAAACACAATACCTGGAATGCAGATCTTCTTGGGGGTTCTTCATCTTCCTTTTTTTCTTCCTCTTCCTCTTCTTCACTGTCCGTCTCAAATAAATAATAATCTCCACTTCTGACCACTAAGCAAAATAAAATATTTTCTTATTTCTTGTGGAGAAACAAAGTGCCTCGTATCTCTATATCATGAGACAACACAAAACTATTGTGTGAGAAAGAGGCTCAATGACAGAACAGAAAAAACAAGAAATGAATAGAACCAGTGGCAAATAGATAATCTGGCATGACATTCTGAGGCATAATAAAGAAAAAGTAAATGTTACAGGAAAAACATATCACGATGGGAAGAAAATAGCCTGATAACATGTAAAAAAGTTGGAAGCATACTATAAAAAGTGCTTGAATATGTTAATTTATAAATGCCTTATTTTTTCACAAGCAGAGAAATCCCATCTTCGTGGGTATCTTGCTGGTATGTGAAATTCATATTTTTTTGTGAGCACCAAATACATAAGCTAAGTTATATCACTGGAAGAAAAAAGGTAAAACGAACAGCGAGGAGTGTGGAGACATCCTATGCCATTTTTTAATCATTTTACTATATTCTTCAAATGTAAACAAGAGATAATGTAAAACAATTTCCTAAACTGAAATTGTCAAAGTCAAAATCTTTATTACAGTCCATTACCAGAATAATGAAATTATTGATAAAAACAATGAAAATATAAAATATAACAAATGCACTCTGGAACAGTATGTGAGATCACAATAAAAACCAATTTTTGTCTGTGGATTTTAAAAAGTTCTTATGCCTCCATATATTCAAGATACGATGTAAATGAACTGGACCTTATATCCTTGAACAGAAGCACATAATTTTTAAACCCTGAATATGAACTAATTTGACAAAACAAGGGAAACAAACAAGAAAAGTAAAGCAATAAGCAAGAGTAAAATTAAAGTCGGAGCATTACATTTTTCAGTAAAGCTTATAAATGTAATGTCTCCACGTGAACTGAAATAGTTTATCTGTAATGATTGAGTTACCAAGCAATATACAGAATGACATTTTATAGTACATTTGACCCTCATTATATACCTTTCTGAACAATCAGAATAACTTACCCTGTTCAATCATACCTCATTCTTCTTTCAGTCATATACTGAAGATGCTTTCACATCAATATATCTATTTCTCAATGTGGCCAGATCTGTGGATACTTAAACCCAGAGACTGGAGCCCATGAACAGACAAGACAGCTTTCTATAAACCCCCACTGGTGGACCTCCTGATGGCACCTGGTATTTCTGGCCACTGTGTGACACAGAGTGTTGGACGGGATGGGCCTTTGGCCTGATCCAACATTGGCGTCTGTTATGTTCTTACAAATGCCCCAGATTAGCAAAAACCCCGAAATCTAAACATAACTTTAAAAAAACCCACTGTAGTTTAAACTCTCTCAAAATAACAGAAGCAGAGAGTGTAGCTTTAAGAATCAAATGCCAGCAGTGGCTATTATTAGGCAAATACAACAGTACTGCTGGCCCTCAAGCCTTGGTTTCAGTAAAGGTAAGTGGATGGGGAAGGGCAATTTCCAGGGCTGTTTTGGTCTCTGAAGGAGGACTGATTGGGGCCAGACCTGGCAGCAACCACCAGGTGAACTACTACCATATGATTTGCATGGCTCATCCAGGCTGGCTGCCTGCTACTGTTCAACAGCACCTACTCCATGAACACTAGTGCGGTGTGGTGGTTAGAGGTTCAGACTAGGAACTGGAACACCCAGGTTCAAATCACCACTCTACCAAAGAAGCTCACTGGGTGACCTTGGTCTAGTTCCACATTCTTAGCCTATCTTACCTCACAGCATCACTCTGAGGATAAAATGGAAGAAAGGACAATGATATAAGGTGCTTTGGGTCTCAGTTGGGAGAAAAGCAGGGCATAACTGAAATAAATAATAAATATAGCTGATGTTGAGAGGCAGTAAAGGTAGGTTGGTGGGTGGGTGGAGAGTAGAGGAGAAAAGAAAGCAGTGAAAGGTGAGGATATGGGGGTTGCCAAGAGGAGGGGAAGAGGAAATAGTGTGGGGGAAGGGAATACAGGGGGAAATGAGAAGCCCACTTGGGGCCTTTCTGGGTTTCTCGATGCACAACTGGGTCTGACCCAGCAACTGACAATGCACAACTGTCCATAGTTTTTTGGGTAAAAGCTATTATGGAGAGTGAAGGACAAGGGGGCACATAAAGGTTGGCTGGCTAGTGGTTGGGAAGGCAATAAGGAAGCAAGCAAAGGGGAAATACTATGGGGGCTTTCATGGAAGGGAAAGCAGAAATAGTGGGAGAGGGGAAATGAGAGCCCCCTCCAAGTCCTTGCAAGTCCCCTGCTTGTTAATATCTAATGTAAAAACTCCTTCATGTCTCTTATTCTATAGGAAAAAGGGATATGATAGAAAGTGGATTTAGCTGCCTCCCTTTAAAGGAAGCAATCCATTTTTATACTACAGTCATCAGCAGTACTCATTTTGTGTAGCTCACAGCGTACAAGTTGACATGATACATGTCCTCTTGTTCTTGGTCATAAGGACTAATGCCAACAAAAAAGTTACTCCTACCAACATCTCATAGAGTTATAATATTCTGCTTTCAAATGCTAGGTCAGTAACGGATGAAACAGCAGCCATCCAGGATTTAATTCTGGATGAGAGGGCAGACCTCGCATGCATCACTGAGACTTGGCTTAGGTAGTGGGGGGGAGTTTACCTCTCCCAACTATCCCCCCCCCATAGTAATATATCCGCATAGGCCTGGCAGCTGGGGCGGTGATGTTGCTGTAGTCTGTAGGGATTCTCTCTCAGGCCTGTCTAGGATCTTGCCAGTTTTGAGAGTGTATATCTAGTGTTAGAGGTGAGAAACAGGACTGGGATTCAGTTGGTATACTGCTTGCCCTACTGCCCAACTGTCTCCCTGCCCTAATTAGTGGATGTGGTCTTGGGAGGTGTGTTGAGGACTCCAAGTTTGGTTGTTTTGGGAAACTTCAACATTCATACCAAGACTACCTTGTTGGGAGCAGCTCAGGATTTCATGGTCTCCATGAGAACCATGGGCCTGTCTCAGGTAACAATAGGCTGTGCAGGTTGCACTCTTGATTTGGTGTTTTGCTTGGGGCAGGAAGATGATATGAAGGTGGGGGATTGAAGATGGTTCCCTTGTCACGGGGTTTAAAGTTGTTGGGGTTTAAACTTATAGGATACCAAAACTCCAGAGGGGTGGGGGATCAATTAAGATGATCTGCTACCATAGCCTGATAAATCTGTTTGGTTTTCAGATGACATTGGGGATTTTCCTG